TTAACGAAACAATAAAAGACTGAACTTGTATCTTTGATCGAAAAATTTTAAGTCAAATTTCAACTCTTAATTTTTTATCGAAAATTTAAGTCAACTTGTAACTCTTAATTTTTGATCGAAAACATATCGATGAAAAAATAACGATTATTTATCGACTTTTCTGAAACAAAAAACATAACAGTTATGGCCCCAGCGGAAAAAGGCTAAGTCCAATATATAAGTTTTTTCGCTAGTAATCCCTGGATTTGCATACATATATGTATATGTACATATGTATATGTGTCAGTGGGTCGAAGGAAAATGAAATTTTTTTATCTATTCCATAGGGTTCATTATGGTTTTATATTTTTTGTGTATTTTTTACTTAAATTGTATCCAAAATTTATTTAGTTTCGTTTCTTTTAAGTTACTACTAACAATTAACAACCCTTCCTGTATCCCGTTTAAGTATGGTATTTTATTCGTTTTCTACCAACCTATCCCTTTACTCTCACTGCGAATTTAATTCCCAGCTTTTGCAAAAAGCTTTTAGTACCACCCTGGAACTTAGAACTATTCGATCATTTTCACCAAATTTATTTATCGTACTACAAATATTTTATTATCAAAGCAAAATAGCTTTTTTTGTAATCGATGTGTTATCACTACTATATACTTACATACAGATAAATAACTGTTTAGTTTGTGTAATCAAAATTAATGTTGCACTTTCAATTCTTGTTACATTTCTATTGAAACACAAAAATTTGCAAAACTTTATGAGCAACTTAGTTGTGTTAGTTTTATACTTCATTTAATTCATTTCTCCATCTAATAAGCGTGTATGTATTTTTTTGGTTTTTTTTTATTAGTCTGCCTGCATGTTTTCGATGTTTTTATTAATGCTGCTAATCTTTAGAGTCACTAAATAAATTTGTTTTTATTCCATTTTTTTTACAATACAATATACTCCTCATATATAGACAAGTTTTTTTCTAAATGTTTTATTCAATTTAAATTTAAAACCAACTCAACAAAGACAACAGTAACTAAATGCATAAATTCAATGTTTAGTAATTTTAGTGATACATTTCTTTTTACTTACCTTAAATGTTGCAAATGCCTCTACGTATAGTGAATTTTAAGCACCCCGTATACTATTTGATGCTCTAACACCGGTAAGTAATTCATTTAGCGGAACCGCCTTTCCATACATCAGCGTACTCTTCACTGTGAATATCAGAAAAGAAAAAAAATAATACTGAAGCAAGTGAGGGCTAATACAAAAAAAAAAGTACCAAAAAGACGCATAATAAGCAAAATGGAATAAAAACAAACATCTCACCTAAAATTAAAGAAATTAAATAGACTAACAATCGCTAATCAGAAATTGAAACAACTACAAAATTTTTAGCACACCACACCTATTATATACTCGTAAAACCTCCCATGTGTTTCCTACTCATATAAGTTGTTTTTAGGATCACAACCCTAACAATTTCATTAGCAAAGATCCTTTAAGAAAAGCGTTCCTGAGCAAACACAGCGAGGTCTGCCTACAATCGATTGCAATAAAAGTTTTCCTTACACAGTACGTATTTGGATAGACACATTTTGACGAACACGAAACCATATGTATATCCCTAAACATACCATAAGAACCTGTACAAACCGACAAGTAACTTCAAATTGACGTTTCACTATTAATAATATAATGTTGACTGCACACGACGCAACAGTCGCAGCAACAAGACAAGACTATATAGTATACCAATTACTTTGACATGAAAGTGATACAATTTAATTACACTCCCACAACCTAGTGCGCTCATAACTTGTAGCTTAATAAATACTTAGTTTGTTTTAGTTTTGATTATTTAATATGTTTTTGTTCGAAATTTTAAGTAGTTAATTTTTGGCACTTTTTTTTTTTTTGAAAACAAATTATCGTTCTTGAGAAATGTGGTATCTATGCAAAAGTTTATAGCAAATCCTATCTGAAATATACATTTCTATATACGTCTCTGATTTCAAGTGAACAACTAATTAAGGAATCAATTCCGTGTTGTCCGTAGCGGAGTTTATAGAGATGGATAGAAAGCTTTAAAAAGCCTTGCACGCGATCTACATTTTTTGCGTCACTAAACAGATTGGTAAGACCCATTTGGACAGTTTAATTGCACGTAGTACTTTAAGTTTATAAATTCCTGTAAACTCTTTGCGTCGGCAACTTTAAAAGAAACGACAAAATGGAATGATGTCGGAACAGTCATATGCTATTTAAGAAATTCAATTTGTATAATTCCAATAAAAATTTGCCAAATTTTCACACGCAATTCAGATGCGCTAAGAACGGCTGCACGAACGACAAAATTACGTTCATGTTATCTGGTTAGTAACCATCTCAATCAGGCAGATCGACAATGCAAAGAATTGACTATACGATAGGTAATCGTTGAATATTTTTTAAGACTACAAGGAATTTAAGCATCGGCAGAAAACGACTTTTTCCTGCGGTGAACCAAATTTTTAAGACAATTCTGATCGCCAAATGTTTCTTGAAATATCCACACGTGAATTTCTGGGATTAACTCAAAACAAGCCTCCAAAATTGCTTCGTCAAAGTGCTTCAAAAATAATTCAAAGAAAATAGGAAATTAAGAAAATGCCGTTTTTGGATTTCAACATTGAAATGCCATTTGAAAATTACCATTTTCTCTATATCGAAACATAAATCTTCGTTTTGCAGTTCCCCTGGCCGTCGTCTAAATTTGTACCATAGAGAAACGGATTCGAATTTGACTTATTTTTTAATCATTCTCTAGACGAACCAAAATTCAAAATTAAAGAGAACTTTGTTCTCACCTCCAACACGCTACTCAAATATGTTGCTGTATGACCACACACATACACTCGTAGGTAGTTAAACCAAATTTAAAAGCTTTGCACTGCTCGAAATAACTCCGCTCGGCTAGGCGCCGCTTCCTTTGTACGCGCACGTAAACTTAGTTGCTTAGAAATAGAGTACAGAGTGAATAAAATCCATTTGCTTTTGGTATTGTTACGAAATCCACTTGTACTGAAAGCGTGAGGAAAAGTCCAGTGAAAAAGTAGATATCGGAGCCGGGAAATAAGCTTGCTGCACACCAAAAGAAAAAAATAGAAAACAATTATTTAGAGAAGATACTAAAAAAATCCCCTTCACCTCATAATGTAACCAAAAATATTTGCCTACCAAATGCAAAATACACGAAATCTACTAAAAGTTGTAAAAACGCTTTTCCTTAGATGTTGCTCGGACCAGGGATCGAGCCCAGGCCCTACGGAGTGGTACTATTTCTAACCACTCAGTTCATTCAAGAAAACTACCTGTACTGATTTACAGAAAGTGTTGTGTTCCCTTATGACAGCAACGAATCACACGCCAAAATTAAGAGCGCTTGGTTGGGAAGCTTTCTTCATGCATCTACAATCGAACTTAGACCTTGTGCCATTTTTTTTTCAAATCTGTTCCGGTCTCTTAGGGTCGAAACATAGTGGAGCGGTGAGCAAATCGAAGAGCTAACATCGAGCAAAGCTTCAATAACAAACGTGTATGTATGCCTTGCTCTTCACTATGCGCTCTCCCATTGAAACATATGCGTTGGAAATCGACGCTTTGCTCGATGCTCTTTGCTTGCCGCTCCACTATGTTTTTACCATTAGAGATGCTGAATTTACTTCAGCAAAGTTTTACGGAAGGAGACATTATGATTTTATCTCAAAAATAAAACAAGCTTTATCTTAACAACAATTTTTGAACGCTCTCTTCATCTTAATCCCACTCAATGATGAGCGCAAAAATTCAAATGGTCTTTTAGTATCAATCATTTATTTGAAAACTTGACTATTTTTGCATAAGTAAATATTCATTTAAAATATGTTAGCCTTATTCGTCTGAAACTTTTCGTTTTTTGAAAGGAATGAGGTCGTAGAAATATTAAACCAAATGGAAAACGAATCTACCAAACTACCAAAATTAAAATTTAGAAAAATATTCCACCAAATTTGAACGTATTCTGCTAAAACGGCAACACTGAATGTGCTTGTAATCGAGTTGCATAAGCTTCATTTGTCGAAATTGCTCGATTTTAATTTCAGCATTATTAGTAGATCCACCATTGCATTTAAGATAGTTTTAATTTAAGAATATACAAAAAAAAAAATGGATACGTTTAAAATAGATTTTGCACAAAGGAGGGTTTTTGCTATAAACTTTTGCTGTGCGCATAACTGCATTTAAATAATTTAATTTTCTTTCTAAATTCTTTAAGTCTTTTTTATTTAAGATAATTTGTTATTTTTGTACTTTTCAAAATTTGTAAAAAAAAAAATTGTTTAATTATAATTTTTTAGAAGAAAAAATTGAAAAAAAGCACAAAAAGAATACCACAGCAAAATTTTTCCCAATTTATAGATTATGATTACGACCTTTATGGTTATTCGGATTATCGTGGCGGCTACAATGAATCCTATTACGACGATTTTTATCGCACCTATGATGGAGAGTACTTCTTTGATTATCCACCGAGCGGTGTAGCACCATTTCCAACTGGTGGACCCGCTGGTGGACTGCAGAGAACGGCCAGAAACAATGTGGTGGGTCTAACATTCTTCTAATACTACTTACTACTACTATAACTACCTACTATAACTACTAGTACATACTACCACAACTGTTAATAAATACGATTCTCACTACTACATAGTTGTCTACAACTCCTGCCACTCCTGCCATTACAACAACAGTTGTATACTTTGCAATTTCGTAAACATAATTTTTTTTTTCGTAAAAAAAAAACATCACAGCAGCAGTTAACAATTTTTGCGTTCGCATAAAACTATTGGTATTTGAAGCGAGACAATAAATGAATTGCTATTACATATTTATTCATACAGTTGGTGGTGAATTGTATACTTTCTTGTAATTTTCAAAATTTTCGTAGAACTACGCGCTAGTAGTGTTGAAGCATATTTTCTTTATAATTGATTTTATTATTCTTTTTATGCTTTTAATTTTATTGTGATTTTTCTTTGATTTTTTTTTTTGGCTTACACAAAATTTTATGCAAAACAAAAACAAAAGTACACACATACGGATAGAGACAAAGTTACACGTGATCAAAATTTGAACATTATCAACTACGACATAATCAGCAACGACAGCGTGAAGACATCATCAAAAACAAAAACTTCAAAACTGCCATTACCCGGCATCAAAATTTCGGCCTCACTCACATGCTTTCAGGGATACTTTTTTGAAACCACGTCTAGCAATTACATTACACACATACATAAATATAATGCATCTAGTGTTTTTTTGGTTTTTTGACTTTTATTTAACAAGAAAATCTGTTTTGTTAGCTTGAAATTTGAAATTTCGTCCGTCCTGTGAGCGTTAACCCTAAAGTGCACCCATCCACAACTAGTAAATTAAGAGTGTAAACAAACAAACCGCCCTAGATACAATTTCATCCAGCATCTAGCATACACTTTCTTGTGTTTCTAATAAGCCTTAGATACTAAGATTATTATTATTTTATTTTTTTTTTTGTTGTATACAAAACACATTTACATGAAGAATTTTAACACTTTTTCATTTAACCATGCTTATTATTTATTGCGTTTCATTTTATAATTTTTAATCTAAGTGCTTTTTGTTGAATTGGAATTGGAAAGCTTTTTTGTTCATTTGATGCTTATTTGCTTTGTTAATTTATTTAATAGTTAGAGAAATATTTTTAAGCTAGGCATTTTGATGCTAAGTGGCAATGCAAACTATTGGCTGTGGTTCTGTACAAAAGAAAATAAAATGGAAAAGGGAACCAAAATGGAAATGAAAAATCAATGCGGTTAAATCTTTTTTATTTTATATTTATTTTATAAATATTACTACTCAGCTGGAGTATGCAAGCAACAAGGCATACAAATGGTTTGGTTTAATTTTATAAAGCTTTTTTGTATAGTATATAAAAAAAATGTTGAGCTGAATGAAGTGTGCTAACAATTTGTATTGTCTTATTTTTAAATCTACATTTTTGAAATCTAGGGAGCTACATACATATCGCTGCCTCGCTGGAAGAGTGCCATAATAAAAAAACAAGAGTTTTTTAATATGCAGAAAATAGCGTTGTTATTTATTTTATGCTGTGTAAAAAAAAAATTATAACGACATTTGACAAATATGTATTTATGTACATATACATATACAAAACTTACGCAAGCTTGTTTACCATCAAACAAATGGCATGAGGAAACAAACTTAATGACTTTTATTTTTAACCCAATGACAGGCATTGGTTTCTTTAATGCCCAATTTTCTCAATAAAAGTTTTTGTAATTTAATATACGGTAATGGGTTCAGATCTTTTCACATTAGGGTGATTCGATATGACCACAGATTTTATTTTATAAATAAACCACGAGAAAATTTATCTATTTTTTAGTATATGGAATTTATATATGAAACACAATATCCGTTAAATGCGCGCCACGATTTCGACTTTTACTAATAGTTCGGGCTGTATAAAATGTATAACGCGTATGATTTCGTTCTTCAGCTGTGGAATCGTCTCAGGATTATTGGCATAAGTCATACTTCTCACGTAGCCCCAGAGAAAGAAGTGCAATTATGTATATCAAAAAAAGATAATGCGTCCTAGGAACTTCGTAGGCAATAGGGCCATTGTTTCTTGCGATGTGTGGCAAACACTATCCTATCCATCTATCAACTTCTCACAATTTTTCTGAGTAAAATCTACCACTCGTAATTTTTTCGAAGTTCGCGCACTGATTGCTGGTAAAGCCGGCACTAAGTTTTTTGTATATCCAACTCGTACAGTGAATATGTGTAACTTAAATTTCATTCACACCAATAGCTCCTTCGGTTTCGAGTGTAAGTAGGATAAAAAAAAGAAAATACTTACATACTTAATTTTTAATTAATTTTAGTTTGCTTTTTGTTGAAACTTATTTTTATTTTTCATTTATAAGTGCTCACCGCTGCCCACTAACCTAAGCCAACTAACCTTAAGCTAATTGATTTCATTTTAACTACTTATATATCAATGCATAAATGTATAATATTGGCATAAGTTCATAAAACAAGTTATTGTAATATGGCCTCGTAAAAATCGCTTAAAAATATACAACACTAAAATTTTTTCTTTCTTTCGAACTTTTACAAAGAAAAACTACTCAAAATTGATGTTAGTACAAAATTGCAAGTCAAAAAAATAAAAATAAAAAAATGTGTCAATCGCAAATTTCGTTAAAATTCTTGCAAAAAATTAAACACAAAATTCCATTCGAAAATAATCAAAACAAAATGACAATATTTGTGAGATATGTACCTGCAATTCACTTCAAGGCGCCGAAAGCAATGCAAGTCAATTGCAGGCAAGCAAAAAAGGGAAATTAAGCTTTAAGTAGGTTTTATTCATAGTCCATATTATGGTATAAAAGCATTTATCTCAAATTTAAAGTATTCGAATTTAGGCTTATAAAACATAGGTATGTATATTCAGCAAATTTATTTGTTGAAATTGGTGTTTTTTAAAGTCACCAGAGGTAAACAAGTCTACGAAATTTACATAAATAATCACGAAATTTAGTATATCAAATGCGGAACAAAAATTTTAAACATTCGGCAAAATATACAGAGACTTCATACATACATATGTAGATTAACAACAAAACTTCCAATTACAAATAGTGTCGCTTTGAATTTGGAATTATTACGTTTAAGCTTTTATACTTTTCACAAGTTTTTATAAAGACATTGATTTTTATTATAATTACTCATATTAATTGATTTTTAAACATGAAAATCTAACGCGTTAATTTCGATTTTTTTCTTTTCTTTCTTTTTCTTTTTTATGTTTCGGTAAAAAAAAAAAACCAAATATATCATCTTAAAAAAATTATATATATGTTCGTCAAATCACAAATACCAAATACAAAACAAAACTTACCAATCACCACCACAAATATGAATTTGAAACATATTTTAAAAATGAAACGCGCACAATAACTGCGAAACAACTTCAAATTTGCAACCAAAACCATTTGTTTAAAAATGAAACCATTTCGAAAACACCTATTATTTCTTTGAAAAAATGCCTTTCACATTTCTTTTCAAAAACCTACTAAACGATTCTATTTCTTGTTTTTTTTTTTCTAATTTGAATTTGAACCGTAATCGTCAAATATGTGCCGGAAAATATTTGCAAAAAAACCCTCGAAAATTTCGAATCATTGGAAACTACCCAACAACCGTACACGGGTAACCGAAAACCGAATAATATTTATTAAAAAAAAACCCCATTTACTAAACCATTGCATTATTGTCCAAAAACCAATAATTGTATTGTTAAATTTGGCTACTACCTTGGCGATCCATGTATATAAAATGTATGTAATTTTTATGTGTACATAATGTGTTATATACATAATGCTCGTGCGAACTAAATGACAATGGCCGAAATCAACCAATTGAACCACCAAACAACCAAACAACCAACCAACCAACCGACCGACCATGCAACCAACGCAAATGAATCATTTTTTCCATTAAATCTGACGAAAACCGTAAAACCCAAAAAAAAAAAAAAAAAACCCAAATAACGAACTACACACAAATTGTACACACTGTAAACACAATAATACACGCAACCACTAAACATATAAACCTCACGTATACATATACGCATGCATTTACACTGTGAAAACAACAACAACAACAACAACAACAACTGAAACAACCACAACTACAACAACAACAACATCAACAACAGGGGGTTGGTCGTGGACGTGGAATCACGGCCACGCGTGGCCGAGCCGTTGGGCTCCGTGGCAACATCAGCCGTCAGGGGGCCCCTCAAGCGGCGGCGGCGGCGGCGGCGGTGGCGGCGGCGGCGGCGGTGGCAGTTCAGCGGGGGGCCACCGCTCAGGGGGCTCAGGCAGCAACCGGGGGGGTCCGTGGGGTGGGACAAGTGCGTCCCAGCGCTCGTGGCACCCAGCACGCCAAGCCGCTACAAAATTTACCAGGTGAGAAATTCATTTCAACCAAATTTATTAGAAGAAAAAAGTAAATAATGCATCAAAACAACAACATTTGAAAACAACAAAAAATATACAATGAATTAAATTTAAAAAAAAGAAAAACAACAACAACAATAAATAATCACAACAGCCAGTGTGTGTAAGCTTAATGTAAAACAGTATCACATTTACCATAAAATGCAGAAACAACAACAACAACAAAAAAGGAACATAAATACACGCACATGCATACATACATACATACATAGTACATATCTAAATATCGATTAAATAGAATTAATTAAATGCAGTTAATCAATTTGATAATACCACATAGCCGTGCATACATACATATGTACATATATATAGTACATTTCGATGATCCGCTACAATAACGACACAATGCAAAATTAAAAAAAAAATTTAATCCCTTACTACTGTTAAGTGGCTCATGTTTTTATTTGGTTTTTAATTTTGAATTGTTTCGTTGTTGCAAAGGACCATCGATATGTACATGCAAACAAACAAACAATAAACAAGCATACTTGCAAACTTACCGCCGGTTTCACCAGCAATCTAAATTTAAAATTCAAAAACTTAAAATCATTTTTTACTTAAATTGCTTTCGTGAAATTGGCTGTTAATAAATCAGTGAGATTTTATTTGTGTTAACACTTTGAAACTATGTGCATACATACATACATACATACATACTAGGGCTGGGAGTTCTGTCCGTATTTTTTGATTCAATAAAAATACGTATCTATATAAGAGAACGGATATTAACTGGATATCTGGATTTTATCCGTGTACACGAATATCCGAATGGATATCCAGTTATACGAATATACGGATACTGCCAGCTCTACTAAATACCATACCGTACATGCTACATATGTGCTGTGTTGTAAAAATTTCCACGCACACACACACACACACACACACACACATGCAGGCGCATAAAATGCAACACAATTGAAGAATGTTTGATGCATATACATACATACATACACACATACTACATACAAATAAGAATGTACTGTTAAGTTAGTGGAAGTTCCTTAGAAATGTGCTACGACGTCCACTTGTACTACTACTACTATTTTAAGTACTTTGATTGTAATGTTGTTTTTGTGCTAGCGGTATAAAATTTTCTACAACTTTTTGCTACATAGTACATACAAGAACTTTTTATTGTTAATTAATTAGTTTAAACGTTAATCGTTATCATAATAATTACTACCACCTACTTACTTAAGTATGTAATGTACTGTTTCGAGAAACAAAAACAAAAAGCAAAAAAAAACAAAAAAAAAAAGACCTCGTAAGCAACTACATACATACATACATACATACATATGTACATACATGCTTTCATACATATCATTTAATAAACGTACGCGCGCTATTCTATGACTGACTTGTACCAAATTCGCAAAAATCGCCGGAATCGTAAGTATATGTATGTAAGTATGTATGGAGGTGGCAATTTCAACACCTGGTTGTTTGTTTTTTTTTTTTTACTCTTTGTAAGCACATACACACACACACACACACCGTATCTTTCTCTTTGATGACTCTCTCTTCTTAAGTTTGCATACTTTAGTCATACATATATAGATATGTTGCTGTATGATTTGTGTAAATCTTTTTGTTTGTCGAAGTAATATCTAGTAATGTGAATTATTTTTATTATTATAATATAGTTGAATTTTTTTTTTTATACATACATACATACATATAAATATGCACTGCAAATTGTAATTACATTTTATGTGTACTTTTAATTCTTTGCATTAATAACTCGACTTTAATTACTTGATAATCGTTTATGAATAAAGAATTCTGTTGTTTTAATAATAACACACAATTAATTTTAATAAAATATTGTATTTTGTTCGCATTTTGTAAGAAAGAAGAAGAATAAGAAAACAAATAAATATGAGACTTGCTCTCTCGCACTCGAACTAATAATTGTGTGCTCTCTTTCTCTTAACTCACTAGTTCTACTACGTTTTTGATTTAGCATACATAGCGTGAGAAAAGGTGTTGCGCCCACCTAACGTAACGGCCGACGAACGTAAATTAGCTATATTTTCTGTTTGCTTTCAATTGCGACCTTTCCGCTGTCGCTAGTTCCTATACCTTGGCGTTTGGTATTTGAGGGTTTTAAAGGATTTTTTGGTTGGGTCCAGCGCGAAATTCGTATGCATTCGCCCAGCCCGCTGTTGACATTTTACACTCTCACTTAAAAGTTCACAAACACGTGAGAATTTTATTTTTTTTTTTACTTTAAGCTACAGCTAAGCTTTCCACCGTATGTACATACCTACTTACATTTGAATGCATTTTTGAGCATAGAAAGTTATGTATGTATGTACATATGTGTGTACATGACATATATTTTCTCACTTGTACTATGTCACATATTTTATTATTTGCATGCAGTTATAAAGTTTTGAAATATATGTATATTTTGCTAGTACATCATTAGTTATCCTATTTTTGCCCTTTGTTAGCTTGTCGTAAAATTTTCACGTGTGTACATTAGGGTGCACCACTCTTCACAAAAAAAATATTGTACTGTTTTTCCATAATAATTATGCAATTTATTATATTCTAAGACTTCCGTCAAAATATATTGTAAAAATATAAGGATTTACATGAGCTGTACACATATGAAAATGCCTAAAAAAAATCAAGTTTTTATAGATAAAATTAGTTTTAAAAACTAGTTAAAACTTTCTTTTTAATCACTTCAGATGATAGAAGAAAAAAATGTTAAAAAATTGTATCAACGGAATCAAAATTAAGGGATTTTAAGAAGTATTTTCTAATGCGTCCAACTAGCTCGCGAAATATTAACATTTTTCTGAAATATTTTTGCGAAAGTCTTAAAATAAAATAAATTTCATGATTCCCGTGGAAAAATCGCAACTTTTTTTGATGATGCAGCCTAATGTATGTATGTATATGCCTATGTACGTATGTAAGTCCACATCTCTCATTATGTGGCTCTATATTCTTAGCTTTCTGCTTTTTTACAGTTTTAAAAGCCTTGGTACATTGCATATTTTTACAAATGTTTCAAGTGGCCCAACCAAAACACATACAAATGTCAATGCATACATAAGTTTGCATACTTTGTATGTCATTGCTTCATCTTTACATACAGTGTCGCAGGAAAGTATTGGCACAGAGAATTCTTCGCAATATAAGCAAAGTTTTCTATTCTAATTTATTTTTAATATTTTTAATAAAAATATAGTTCGTACTTCACAACAAAAAAAAACATAACCACAAAATCTCTAAACTTTGCGCAAAACTCAGGAAAATTCAATAAATTTGCATACTAATTTGCAACTTTCTATTCAGATTTTTTTTTTTAAATTCTATGCATGCAGTTTCATAGCCCATTCAATTTTAATATAACAAAGTGCAAGTTGGAAGTATCTAAAAATTCGTGTTGATTTTTGAAAATTTTTTTAGTGGAAGTTGTTGCTCATTTTCTCCATACAAAAAATAATTGTTGAACATACTTTGTATGGAAGAACCTGAGTGAAAAAAATTGCCAAAAATCAACGCGAATTTTTAGCAACTTCAAGCTTGCACTTTGTTATACTAAAATTAGATGGGCTATAGAACTGCATACTTAGTTTTTTTTTATCTGAATAGAAATTGCAAATTAGTATGCAAATTTATTGAATTTTCCTGAGTTTTGCACAAAGTTTAGAGATTTCAGTTTGATGTTTTTTGCTGTACGGTGAACTATATATATATTTTTTTTTTAATTATCGAACATAAATTAGAGCAAAAAATGTTGCAGATATTGCGAAAAATTCTCTATGCCAATACTTTTGTCCAGCACTGTGGTTAGATACTATTTTACTCAGTTTCCCTCTTCCCTGTTTTCTTAAATAAAATATATTTTTTTATTTTTTAGTATAATCAAATGAATCGATTAGTATTTAATGGCAAGAAAAGTTAGAAGGAAACGAACCAAATATAGGCATAAACAAGATGCATACACATACCCTGGGGTATGTCTAAAATTTTGTTAAAATAGTATGTTTCTTATGATTCTCTTCAGAACCTCTATTTTTATCCTAGCTTATGACACAGTCGATATCTTATGCTACAATAAAAGCCTTTTGGGGCTGAAAAGCCGAAAAAAAAGTAAATAACAATGTGGCGCACCTTAATACATATCTATAGCCCTTCTTGGCCACTTGCGTGCCAAATTTTAGTACATATTTTGATATTTAGAAGCTTCATGACTAATAAAGGAGTTTATAAGGCAACAACAAATTAATTTATGTATATAACTTATAAGTGTTTAGTTTGTATTTTGGCCTCTTTATAGTGTACGTTTATATTATATCACATAAGGTCTGTGTTTTTATGTACGAAAAATCGGTTTCCAAAAAAAAAAATAAAGCAAATTCGAAACAAAAAAAGTAACAAAAATCAATCAATCAAAAATTCAACGACCCGGCATTAAGTTATTACGGTTATTTTTTTTTTTATTCTGAAAATCCAAAAACAGCTTAACAGCAACCATATTATGACAAACCAAAAGATGAAAATCGAACAAATTCAAAGCAAACACCGTACAAAATTCCTGTTTCTCCAAATGACGTGTATATATAATTTTTTTAAGATTCGATATTTGTTTTGTATTTATTCGCTATATGTATATCCGACATACATACATACTAACACACTAAAGTTTAAATACAGATAAATATGTAATTTGTATATGAAAGAAAAGCACCAGTAGTTTTTCAGCAGCCTTGCAGCGGGAAACTACAGTGGGGTAAAATAAATGCATAAGCGCATACATTCTTACAAACATATGTATGTACTTATGTATCTACTATATACTTAAGTGCATATGTGCATAACATACTTGCTTGTGCATACTTAGACATAGCGTAGAAAGTAAATAAATTGAATACATACATTCACAGGCTTACATACTAAATTTCAACAAAAAAAAACTTAAA